TATTTAAAGATTTGTACAAGACTTCGTTACATAAAGAACAGACATATTCTGACGAATTTTATGAAGAAGAGTCTGTCCAAGTCTCTTTGTTTTAATTGTGTATTGTTTATGAATTATTACTGGTTATAATTTAATAATTATTTAATTAATTAATAATAAATAACAAATTTAATAGTTATTATATATCAAACCATTGTAATAGTTTTCTCAATGAAGGAATGTTTCATATTTAAAATGATATTGTTTTTTAATTAAAGAACTATACATTATAGTAAAAATCAACTAAGAATTGACGTATTAAAAATATAGTTTCAACTAGTAATATAGATGAAGAATAGCTTTTTAGAAGACATCCATAACGAATTGACAGAACTCGAGTCTTCTGTGGGGACATCTAAAACTCCACAAGTCAATGAAAAATCCACAGCATCTATAGAATCGATTCTATCTGATTTTGATACCATTGGGACTGTTGATTTTACTGATGACTTATTTTCAAAGAACAAAGAAAGTCTTGCAAGTAGTCGAAAGGACGAAGTGAGTTTTTCTGATCTAATTAACGTGCAAAGTGACGCGACTGTTGTTCACTCGGAAGACGGTACAAAAGAATTGACACAATCGCCTCTTCTCTTGGATAGCGATACACAACCAACAACACCACAGCCTTTGCTCAAATCACGTTTAAAAGAAGAGTCTGTCATTATTGACGACGAAAAGGTCCAAAGTGTTCTGAATATATGGGACTCACTTGACAATGACGTGGTCAATAAGGATCAAAGTGTCCCGTGGTACTTGCAACACGTTCAATTTGTGAAATATGAGAAGAAACAAGAAAGCGTTTTAGACCGAATTAATGAACGATTTGCAGACTTGAATTCACAAGTCGACACCCTCTGGAAATCACTTTCGCAACCCAAAAGTTTGAAACCAGAAACTCAAATAATCACCGCAAAGAGTCAACCCCAACTCGTTGAAACTACTGAACATCACGAAAAGGTCGAAACTCGGAAAATAGAAGACCCACTCGCAGAAGAATCAACTGAAAAGGTCGAAGTACACACCCCAAGTGGTATTAATATCTCAAGTAAACCAAAGTTTCAACCACCAAAGAGTCCACACGAAATCACTGAATATCAAAAGAAGCTCACGGGCGATGGGTACATCTACTTGTTGTCTCATCAACAACTCGAAGACCTCTTAGGAAAGAAATTCTGTTTCCCAGGACTCATCCTCCACGACATCATCTTAAGATTCATTCCGGAACAAGCCGAGTTCTTCTTAACTAAAGGATCAAAGTCCGACTTCGACACATTACCGGAAAATATGGACAACGGGTCAAACGTGTTTGTCTTTGCACTTTCAAGAAACTTCTATGTCGTCTACATCGAACAGTTTGATGAGTATTATTTGGTCCCTAATAACCCGATCGTCATCCAAAATGCAAATGTCAAATATATTAAATATTGCGAACTCAATAAAATGGCTGCTTTGACAACGCAATTGGACTCCGTCACTTCTTACCTTTCGAGCGTCGACAAGAAGATGGGAGACTCTATTTTGAATTGGGCTAAAAGTTGGTTCTAGGTGAACTAAAGTATAATTAAATGATTTTGTTACTATAACATATAGAAAATGTTTTTATGAAGCTTTTCCACTTATATACGAATGAAAAAGAATTGGTTTGAAATTCGAAAGATTTATAACTGGTAAATAGTCGCTAAGTTTGTCATTAATACAATTCAACAAACGACTAATTAAATAAGTTGCGTCGAAAATGTTACATTTCAATTGAAAAACTCGAATGAAAAAGACGAATAAATAAAATAAACAATGGATTCCGCTTTAAAAGCGATACGTGCGTTTGGATTACCAAGTGACACAATAATCACTCCATATGGAGATGGTCTTATTAACACCACGTTTCTCGTCACTACAATGACATCAAAATACATTCTCCAAGAAATTAACACTAAAGTCTTCCCCGACGTTGTTTCGCTTTGTAAAAACAATTTAATAGTTAGCAATCACTTAAAAAAATACAGTCGATATACTGTTATTAAATACGTCGAACGTATTCCTGGTATATGTTTTGTAGAAGTCTCGGGGAAATACTTTCGGATGTCTGAGTTCATCGAGTCCTCTTCCTCACCAATTGACTTACATTCAATTGAGTTGACTGGAGAAGCATTTGCTGAATATGAAGAAATATTGTCAACACTCTCAGAAGCTTTATATAATGTTATTCCACATTTCCATGACCTTCGTGTTCGCCTTTCTCAATTGGATGAGAGTGTCTCAGTCAATTACCAAAATCGATTATTAAAAGTTACTCAAGAACTTGAAATTATCCATTCATTTCGAGATGAAATGATGTCTCTCCAAGAAATGAAAGATTCTGGCGCTCTCCCCATCCGTGTCGCGCATTGTGACACCAAATGTAACAACGTTTTATTTGACAACAATGGCCGAGTGAAAGCAATCATTGACTTGGACACAACACAAAATGAGGCAATTTTGTCAGACTATGGAGACTTTCTAAGAGTCGCCGCAAACACTGGAAAAGAGGACGACATGAATTTAGAAAACGTCAATTTCAATTTCGACGTGTTCAAAAGTTTCACTAAAGGGTATCTAACCCACTCTCAATGGTTGACTCAAATCGAAAAAGAGACTTTGGCACCCGCTGTCTTGTTCTTCCCTTACATGCAAGCTGTTAGATTCCTTGCAGACTATTTAAATGGAGACACCTATTATCACATAGACTACGCCTCTCACAATTTAGTGCGAACAAAGGCTCAACTCAAGCTCTTTTTATCGGCTCGAAAGGTGTATCCAGCGATCCAAGCAACGATTGCTCAATACTCATAATTAATAGTTATTTTACTATAAAATTAATCATATAATTCTGTATTAAAATCTATAGTTATTTTACTATAAAATTAACGATACAATTCTGTATTAAATTTTTTAATAAAAAAGCCATAAAATACTGATACTGCAATCAAGACGTGTGTGAATAGAAAGCATCAAAGAGTGTCGAATTATCTTCTGTAGTGTCTGTGTTCGCTTCTGCTTCTACTCCTCCTTCTGGAGTGGTGTCTGGAGTCGCTTCTTTTCCTGTATCTATCTCTGCTATCACTTCGGCTTCTGCTGCGACTTCTACTTCTTCCTCTTCGGTCGTCTCTCTCACTGCTTTTCTTATAAAACGAAGGCGGAAATTCATCGTACGACGGGATATGATAGACGCAGGGAAACTGTGGTGGTGGAAGCGGGGGTTGTTGGTATCCTCTCATTTGTTGACCCATCTGTTGTGGGGGGAGGCCTTGTAAAGGTCCTCCGACCTGTTGAATTGGTATTTGAGGGTTGATTGCCAATTGTTGTTGTTGTGGAGGCATCTGAGGAGGGCCTTGTTGGTATTGAAAAGGAGAAGGGTAAGTCTCGAATTGTTTTTGATACAAGTTCGCTTGTTGCGTCGGTTGCATTTGTTGTGGGACATTTTGAGGGACTTGTTGCTGAAGGGATTGGTGAGGGTTGACATTACTTTGGAGGTGTGAAGTACTTTGGGAGGACGAAAGTTGTGCTGGAGGTATTTGTGAAGGGTTTTGTTGTTGTTGGAGTGATTGCCTAGGCTTTTCGTAAGCATATGGATCATCATGAGTATCATAAGGTTGATTCGAGTATGGATTTTGAAAATTTGGATAAGAGGTAGTACTATAAGGATTTGGGGTAGGTTCCATCTCACTCAAGTGATTATAATAATTTTTAGTTTTATTTTCTATTTGAGAATTTCCTTTTCAAAAATTTTCTGAAAAAAAAATGAAAAACATTTTAGAGGGGTGAGTTATATTTTGTTATTCTATTTGTCACAAAAAGAGGAATTCTGTGCTTCAAATTTAGTGAGTAATGAAAAAAAAACTATCCAATTATTATATTATATTCTTTCTATATATATACTAGTACTTTGATGAATAATAGTAATAGTATACTTTAATATAATATATACTATAATATAGTAAAAGAAGTAAAATGAGTTCACCACAAATAAGTTAGCAACATCCACCACCTTCTTTTGTTTGTTGTTGTCCTTGTGGGTTATTAAGTGGGACAATAGATGGATCGGCCTTCTTGTCTGCAGCACCGCCAACCTTTGAAATAATGGATTGAGTCAATGCGTTGAAGACGTCATCTATTCCACTGCCATCTTTTGCTGAGCACGTGAAGGTTTGAACACCACCAAGTTGTCTAGCAAGTTGTTCGACGGCCTCTTGTTTAACAGCAGCGTGATCCATCAAATCAGTTTTATTCCCCACAAGGATGATCACTGGGGGATCATTCTCTGTTCTATCTCTGACCTCAGTAAACCATGAAGAGACCTTATCAAATGATGCTCTGTCGGTGATATCATACACAATCAAAACACCTTGTGTCCCTCTATAATAACTAGCAGTGATGTTTCTGAATCTATCTTGTCCGGCTACTTGTTATATCTTTCCTCTTCAATGTCGACTCGACCGAATTGAATCAACACCTCACTTCAAATCGTTCGATATAAACAAACCAGTATCCCATAACTGCATCTTCACTGTTTTGTTCCCTACTTTGATCACCTTCGGTTTGAAGTCCACTCCAACGGTGGAGATATAGACAGGCTCAAAAGTGTTTTCACAAAATCGTTGCATGATGGCTGTCTGTCCGTGAGTGACGTGTAAACGAGATAGAACAAACCTTCCCAACACCGGATTCACCGATGATAAGAATCTTGAAAAGGTGGTCGTAATTTCCACGAGACATATTCTGATTTTCGAGATGGGCTGAACATTTTTTCTCAAAGAACTCAAATAATGTTTTTCTTTTTTTATGAGTTATAGACACAAAGGTATGGCGAAAAGATGGCATTTCTCGGGTAACTTTTCTCTGTTTTTTTTGTGTACCAAAAATGTATATTGTTTTCATTTTAGTATTTTAATGGTATTTTTTATTAAAATATATATTGATTTATTTATCATAATGAAGTTGTGAGAATAATTCAGTCATAAAACAAAGTCAAAAAATAATGAGATAATATGGTTTTATTTACTATAAATTATTATTAATGGTGTTTTTTATAATCTTATTAATAATTTTTGTTAATAGATTAATAAACTATTGTTTTTTATTACTTTCTATATAAAATAAATATATTTTTAGTTTTGTTTATTATTTTTTATTAATATTGTAATTAACTAATAATTTTTTTTTATTTAAAAATAATCAAATAATATAATTATTATAACATTTATAATAAAAATTATTATTATATTCAAACCAAAATTTAACAACTTTTCTCAACCAAATCAAAACACAACTAAAAGACGAAAACTATAAATATAGTAAAAATAGTAACAATTAGTTACCTTAAAAAGCTTAAAGAAGAATATTACAATATACTTTCTATAAATTCGGTCATATTCAGTCATCAAACGGGTGATTTTATTACAATCTCATTTGTTGAATTTGAACGAAAAGTTTGAGAACTATAGAATTTGAAAAAACAAAACCAATGTCAAAGAAACAACCAACGATCCCCGTAAAGAATGACGCCCCTCGTATTATTCTTCAAAACGAACCAATTTTACTCGAAATTGAGAAAAAGTTAAACTTAGCCCCTGGTTCTCTTCGTTTTGAGTCACAAAAATATATCACATGTCCAAGCGATCCAACAAAGCTTAAACAAGTCAGTCCCTTTCTTAAAGAACAATTCAAACAATTCGTCTTTTTTACTGTCAAAACTCAATATGAAACGAACGTTCAATTGGTCCTTACACATTACCTTAATCTGCAAGCAAGATATCCAAATCTCTCTGATCTAAGATTTGCTTTGTTGAATGACAATGAAGCTCGACATCAGTGTGAGTTCTTAATATATGGTTTGTATTTTAGTAATTGTTCTTACTATAACAATTACTATTAATTAATTAAACAATTACTATAAATTGTTTAATTAATTACTAGACATTTCAATGAGTCACTAACACACAGGAAAGAAACAACCATCATTGGAAAAGATCAAGGGAATGATCGCTAAAGACTCTTTGAACTACTTTGAGGAATTTACAAAATTCACCTCACACCCTCAAATAGTTCAAAAGAACTATTTTAAAGTATTTAACTTGGTGGACCAATACTTCTTAACAACTATCCCACAAGATTTCAATGAAAACACGATCCCACAAGTCTACGGACTCAAAGGGAATATGAAAGAGTTTAAGAAAGCAGTGGAGAAGATTGAGAATGAAACGTTTGAAATTGTTAAGATCAAAACGACTCACCCCATTGACGAAGTCACAAAATTGTACTTCGACGAGCAGTTCTACAATTTGTTGAGTAAAGTGATGAAAGTGTTACCATCGTTTTGGTGTGTTTTCATACAGTCTGGGAAGACCAATGTTTGCGAGTTACATGTCGAAAAGCAATTCACTGCAAATTTGGTGTTACTCTTATCAGCATTTTTTGAAGGTGTGCAACAAACTGTTATGCATGAGAATATCAATGACGACGACTATGTCAAATTTAAACAATACGCAACAGACCATCCACTTCCGTATAATGCGTCGTACACACTTACTAAGACCAAAACAAAGAAAGAGGCCAAACAGAATTTGGTCTTTGTCATTACAACAAATCAAGACATCAACCCCGTGTGCCACACCGATTACAAAGAAAAGTTTGTCGACTTCTTCTCAATTTCTTTGACACGACAACCAACTCCACCACTCCCACAAAACGACATTTCCAAAGCGATAACCGCAGATACTAACTTTGAAAATACACAACCACCCGTCCCTGTTATGAGACCTTCATTACCACGGATAACATATTCTTTCACTGTTAATGAAGAAGCCGATAAAAAAGAACGATTGCAAAAGAAGGAGAAGAAAGAAAAACAAGAGAAGCTCGAGCAAGAGTCAACCGAAAAAGAAACAAACGACATTGAAAACAAAGAGGAGAAAGGTGATGACAAGAAGGACGACTTTGTTATCACAGACAATGAAGTTATATCACAAATCTCAACCATTGACGATCTGTTCGCTACAGTCGAAGAGCAACGCCCACCTGTAGCGCACCGACCCGTCAGAGCTGGGACTCGTAAAGCTCCAAGTAAGAATTTGATCAACAAACAGAAGAAGATGCGTACCGAGACGACTTCAAAAGATGAGAAAAACAATCCGACGGTAGTGTTACCTGGGAGTACTACTCCTGAAGTTAACACGAAAGACAAAGGTAAAAAGGACAAAGACGTCAAAAAGAAAGGCAAAGATGCGAAAGAAGATGTCGAGCCACAAATAGCGCCCAAAAAGATCATAGGAACGGGGATGGGTGGGATGGTTATTACACAAGCCGATTTAAAGAAGCAATTGTCGAAGAGTGGCTCTGTCCCCGCAAAGAAGAATGAAGAGAAGAAAGACGACAAGAAAAAGGATAAAAAGAAGAAATAACACATAATATACCATTCATTTTATTATTTTCGTTGTGTGGCGTGTCGCTCAGACAACTACACATATTCGTTTTTGGTTTGGAACGTATGACTGAATAAATCTCGACTGAAGCACATTGATTGCTCCACTCCGCTTCTTTCGAATAAATTTGATTGCATCGGAATTGTCCATCCCAAGCTCTATAAGAGCTATAGCTATAAGTGTCGGCGCTCTACAATTTGAGTACAATTCATGTGATTGATCGAACAAACCTTCCTATCCCCGAGAGGCAATGAACTCCTAAAGTCACGTTATTCGGGTTCATTTCATTCGGAAATATCGTCCGCACTATTCGCATGAAGTCCGAGATGATCCGAGACGAGGGGCATCCCTCGTCTTGATACACCAACTCGTGAATCGCAATTTTGTTGTTCGTGAGTTTCTTTTTGTCATAAGACGGGTGGCAGCACCGAACAACATCAGTCACGTTGTATCGCTTCAACTCCAATATGTAGTTGTCGACATTGTCGTCCGTCGGAGAGTCGAAGATTAAAAATCGCATTGTGTTATACTCAATAAGTGACGCGGGGTTGCTCAGCTTTGAGACTTGGACCGTTTGAAATGGGATATCTGCTGATGGTGCTCTATGGATAAGTGAAGCGACTTGATTTTTGTCGTTAGTGTTTCCTATCAAAGCCATTCTCTTTCCTTTTCCAGTTACCTTTGAATAGTTTTCACGGTTTCAATATGGTCTTTACCATTCCAATACAACAAATAGTATTTTACTAGTAAATTAAATCAACTATTGCAATAGAATTACATTTGTTTTGAAGAAAAGCACAAGAAAAATAAACAGTGCAAAAATTATTACAAAAATGAAATAATTTTCGAAATCTCCTCTTGTGGTTTTAATTTTTGTTTATTATCAATTTGTATCCCAAGAATATCAAAATTTTGGATGTTTCTAAACCTCAAAATGGTAAAAGAAGACGATTGAATTGGTTAAAATATGATTATGCACACTTTCTTAGAATTATAAGCATCATCGTTCTCATTATAAAAATCCCGTGTACATTCTTGTCGTGTCAACACTTGATGTCATTTTCACAATATTTTCTTTTTTGATTCCTTTGAACGATATGGCTTTGCTACTTTCTTGTGGAAGCGGAGCAATTGGTGGAAAGAATAACATGCTCTTTCTCTGTTGCATGTGACCGTTTCCTGCTGGCGTCTCCGAGTTACTTGTGGACTCAGTGACAGAGTCTTCTCTGCTCAGTGTGTTTCCTTTTGTGTGGCTCATCATGTCCATGATCTTCACAGCCTCGGATGTCGTCTTTGGATACGCAACACCCGCAGACATCATGGCGTCGACACCATATGATGGAACTTCCGCCAATTTCATATCTCCAACACCATCCTCTATCTTCGTTTCGAGCTTTTTGATCCTTGAAATCTCGTTTTTAAAGACTCTCACAATGTGCCCGATCTTTCTCCCCTCCTCAGTCAACGCTGCAATGATTTCGTCATCAGGCTCTTCGACGTTCGAGTACTCGTTGAATCGATTTTTGAACTCTTTTTGTATGTCGATTGCCTTTTTGAAGAAGTTTTCGTCGCATTGGAGTTGATGGTGTAATTGCAAACTTCCATTTCTGAGTAAGTTGCTTCGTTTTAAGGGCTCTTTGCACAGTTCATGAAACTCGGACATCGTTTGGAGAAGTTTTCTGAAATCGGCTGGAAGTGTTTCGAAGATTTCATTTGTCGAAACGTCTTGGACGGCAAGTTTTTGTGGCTGAGGTAGTTCTACTTTGTTTTTGACTGGGGAAAGTCCTTCTTTTGGTTTACAGTTGGTCTCGATATCAAATGGAAGTGCTGGAGTCTGTGTGACTGACGTTGCGTCTTTGTCGTCGTAGTCTGGTTGTGTGAGGGGAGGGAAGTTGACTCCTTTTGTTCTGTAAGTTGTATACAACTCTTTGTACAGCTCTGTATTGTCATAAGTCATAACTAATTGGATGAAGTTCATGACTTTTAGTTGAGCTAATGTTGGCTTGGACTTGAAGAGACCGACCAATTTCTGAATAATCAGTTTGTTTGAGATTCATTTTAAAAAGATGACAAGTAATCTCGTTGTGATTAACTGAGAAGAAAAGATAAAATCTCATTGAATCATTTTTTCAATGAAAAACCCAAGTAGCGGAATAAACGAACATATAAGGTAGGAAAAAAAAAGGAAAATCAAAAATTGAAAAAGGCGCAAAATGTTCGCCAAAAAAAACAAACGCCAAGCTGAGCCATCTTGTCGAGACTCTTTACAAATTCTTCGTCTTGAATCAACATGACAAAACCACGCACTTTAATCACTAGGTACTCAAGAAGACAAACACAATAATACACCTCAAGAGATGGAATAAACCGAAATGGGTGTGACTTTAGTTTGTTCAGAAGCTGGAGACGCAAAACCAAGCAGACCTGTTCGTTCTTCCTTGCTGCATGGACAATTTTACCAAAAAGGTTAATATTTACGGAAGGGTTGTGGTCTGCGACTGCGTTGTCAAGTAACGTGCTTAAAGGTATTGAACGCTTTGACATTTCACGACAATGTTGTCTTACAGTTCACAACGAGTTTGAGTTATTTTGATTGGCTGTTTTTAAAAACACGAAATAAACAGCTAAAATGTTTTTCTTATTTTCTTCTTAGTTTATAAATAAACAAAAAAAGAAAATGAATCTTAACAACGCTTAAATTCAATAATTATTACATTTTTTGGATGAAAAATACAATCAATCATTTTCGTCAAGTTTTTCCCTCATAATCCAATCAACTACAAATCCATTCCCACTTTTGTCTAAAAAAACACCCTTTTTCCCCGTATTTGCAGCAACCCTTCCCATCCTTATTATGTCTAAACACGAAAACTCGGTGTTATCTTCTATTTGATTTATCATGTAATTGGCATGTGTGGTATTTACTTCTCCACAATACCCCAACCAATCACTCCCAAATTTGATGCCATTCCCCAACGTGACTTCTTTCTGATTTTCGTTCATATTCATTTTACAGTTCATAAACAGAAAACAAAACGAAATCAGATTGTGAATGTGTGATTGAGTTGTCAAAGTGTCGCTCTGTGAATAAAAGGATGGAAATTAAGAGGAAGACCAATTGAAAATGGAAACACTCTTATTATGTGCATTTGTGATGATGACAACAGCAGATTACATCAAGTTGTATGACGACGGCGACTTCTATGAGGGATTTGAGGTTGTCAATCCAGACAACTTGACTGTTGGAATACAAGACAAAGACAGATCGCACTGGGAAGTTGTGACAATGTTACCTGGTGACAAGATAGTGTTCACAACAAACGACAGCGTCTCAACAACAGTCCAAGACAAAGACAAAACGTACAAGACACTCAGATTCCACGTCAAGTACGACAACGACGACTTGAACAATATCCCACTCAATGTTAAGATATTTAGCACTGCATACGACTCATTCAACGAGACCACCATCAACAACACAGCTGGTTACACAATCAAGGTCAAGAAAAACAAGAACATGAAGGCGTACATCAAACTTGACCAATTCAACTTGAATGGTGAGGTCTCAACAATCATCTTCACAAGAACTGGCGACTCAACAACTTCTGTCAACTTGATGTTTGACGAGTTGGAATTGGACACAAAGGGCACCGAGACAGACTCGTATGAGAACAGTGCATCGTCTTTGTTGATTGGTGTGCTTTTCTTTGCTATTGTTTTGACTTTCTAACTAGTTTTGTTAGTTTATTAACCATTGTTTATTCCAATACAAATATAACATGTTGTAAAAATGTTTAAATAAGAAACACAACTTATAAAAGCTATCAACTGGTGCATTTAATAAAATTGAAATAATAATATATTAGTTGTAATGTCGCTCACTTGATGTCATTTAAAATCGACTTAAATGATACTATTCTATCACTTAATAATTGTAAACTAAGAAATAATAATGTAATAAACTTGATGAAAATGAATTTATAACACGAGGAGTTACAAACTCGTATACACTTTATTTTATGATATTCATAGTTGCTTATGTGTTTGTTAATTATAAATTATCAAATTATAGATTAGAGTTATGATATGTGAATATGTGGTTTACTAAAATGTCATGAAACTTCTATTCGTTAAGAAAAACACATTCAAAACAAAGAAAAGTATCCAAACATTTCAATTGTTTTTTTTCTTTTTTTTTTCAATAATAACTTAAAAATTCTAGTTTAATAAATTGGGAACATTACATTATAGGAAAAATGAAAAGAAAAAGAATAGCCAAAAAAGTTCGACTGAAAATTCTTTTCAAAAAATCAAAGAAAAAATGAGCTATAAAACGCCACTTTATAACGAAGAATCACACAATGATTGCATTCGTAGCACTCCTCTCAGTCGCATTTGCGATTGAAGTCAACTTGATGATGCCACTTGACACTGTTAACTCCAATGGTGTCAACAACCAGGGACAACTTCAAAACGATCTCAACAAGATCAAGTCAGCGGGTGTGGCTGGTGTCATGTCTGATGTCTGGTGGGGACTTGTAGAGACTTCGCCAAAGACTTACAATTGGAATGCCTACAAGACCTTAGTCTCTATGGTGAAGAACGCTGGTCTTAAGTTCCAAGCAGTAATGTCGTTCCACAAGTGTGGTGGTAATGTTGGAGACTCTGTGACTATTGAAATTCCACAATGGGTCAGAAACGCTGGCGCTTCCAATGACGCCTTCTTCAAAGACGCCGAAAACAACGTCGCCAACGAGTACATTTCATTTGCTTATGATGACCAGAGCATCTTCGAAGGAAGAACCCCAATTGAAATCTACAAAGATTTCATGGCGTCTTTCAAACAGAATTTCCAGAGTTACATCGACGACGGAACACTCAATGAAATCCAAGTTGGTATGGGACCATGCGGTGAGACAAGATACCCGTCATATCCACTCTCTAGATGGAGCTACTGCGGTATTGGAGAGTTCCAGTGCAGCGACAGCAAGTCACAGGAGAACTTGAAGAACGCAGCAAACAATGCTGGACACTCCGAGTGGGGACACAACCCAACTAATGCGGGTCAGTACAACTACAAGCCACCAACATCAACTGGTTTCTTTGGAAATGGAAACGACAACTACCAGAGCGAATACGGAAAGTTCTTCCAACAATGGTATTTCGACCTCTTGTTAAGTCACACCGACAAGGTGTTGTCTGCAGCAAGAAGTGTCTTTGGCGACAACTTGGCACTTGCTGGGAAAATCAGTGGAGTTCATTGGTGGTGGACTGACAACAGCCACGCAGCTGAGATGACAGCGGGCTATTACAACTCTAATGGAAATGACGCTTACAAAACATTGTCAAATACCTTCAAGAAAAATAACATCAGATTCGACTTCACTTGCCTCGAGATGTCGGGCACAGACTCTAACTGTGGCAGTCAGCCAGCTAATCTTGTCGACCAAGCTTTGAACGCTGCATCTTCAGTTGGAATTGGGAAGTGTGGAGAGAACGCACTTGAATTGTGTGGGTATGGTGGATGCAACACTAATGGATTCAACCAAATTGTCAATAAGGCCAAACAACACAACCTCAATGCCTTCACTTACCTTAGAATGACAAGAGGTCTTCTTGATGATGGCAACGCCTGGGGGCAATTCTGCAATTTTGTCAACTCAATGAAATAAATTAATTTTTTTAGTTATTTATTTATAATATCTTTTTCTATATTATAATTAAAAAATTAATTAAAATTTATATAATTTTAATTACTTTAAATACAAATATTTTCAAACATTTAATGGTTTGAAAATAATTAAAGAAACTTTTAAATATCTTAATTCACAATAAGAAATTTCAAATCAAATAAAAATGAAAACGACTTGATTAGTTGTTGGTATAGTAGTCTTTTGTGCAGGCTTCCTCATCCTGGAGCGAAGTCATCCCTCCAAGTGTTGAAGCACCAGCCCACGCCAAGTACTTTCTGTTCTGATGGACCATGATCTTGACATCCCTTCCGTTCATTTTATTTTCGTCCAAAATCACTTTAAGATCCTTCTCAATCCGTTCAGGAAGACCTGGGAATAAAGTTGATCCACCAGCCAATACGATGTGTTGGAGCAATGGTCTTCTCGATGTCAATGGGCATTTTTTGATTGTATTAAAGATCATCTGTGAAAGACCCGGAGTATCCAAACCAACCTTTTCGGGTTGGAAAAGTGCTTCAGGGCATTGGAATCTTTCTTGGTAGAATTTGCTTGCCTGTTTATTACCCGGAATAGTGAATTCTTTCATAGACAAAGTTGCTTTCTTCTTCATTTCGGCGTCGTAGTCCAAAGCAACGTAACACACATTTTCTTTGATTGCTCTGACCAATTCCATCTCTTGTGATGTTCTGTAAATGTATCCACATGTTCTTAAGAGTCTGGACATGTACTCAGTAAGACCTGAGACGTTTCCTTTGATCTTTTCAATAGCACTGTCAATGACATACCCATCAACTGCTGGAACTATTTGCATTCTGTTCCCAATTTCAACAACAATACCAGTCTCTTGGCCTTCTGCGTACAATGCCATCAAAGCTGGGTTGACGATCTTCAAGAATGGAACATTCAAATCATTGAACATGATTGTTTTGATTCGATCAGTAGCAGCTTCATTCATATTTGGAAGTTCAGTCATGACCACTGGATGTGTAGTTGGATCACATCCGTTTAACTCGACGTCGTAGATATTCTGAATGATGGCTTCAAGACCATCCCAATCAGTGTCATTTCGTGGGTCAAGTGGCCATATAAGTTTACTGTTTTTATCAATGGCGTCATACCCAAACAATTTGGTCTCGTTACCATCTTCATCTTCTTCAACAATATAACACGTTGGAATAACTTTTCTTGGTTGCTCTTCACCAGCTGCTCCAATTTTAATAAACGAACTGCCACAATCAAAGACCAAAACTGCGTCATCAGCTAATTTGGTCAAAACACTATCAGCCTTCGCCGCATTTTCATGCGCAAAAAAGGCGGACTGCGCTATCACCATTTTCTTCTTGTTGGTTTTCTTCTTTGTTGTTGTTTTAACAGTGGCTGCTGGGGCTACTTCGTCCGTCTTGGTCTCACCCATTGTCGGTAATCCACCCATAGCTGGCATGCCCATACCGGGTAATCCACCCATACCACCCATCGGCGCACCTCCCAATCCTAATCCTCCAGATGGAGCTCCAAGCCCAAGACCAGATGATGGCGCACCAAGGCCTAATCCACCTGAAGGCGCTCCTCCTAATCCTAAACCTCCAGAAGGGGCTCCTAATCCAAGTCCAGATGAAGGAGCACCTAGACCAAGTCCAGTGGGTGCTCCTCCTAATCCAAGTCCACCAGTTGGTGCACCGAGCCCTAATCCAGTTGGTTGTGCTCCTAATCCAAGTCCTCCGGATGGAGCTCCAAGTCCAAGACCACTTGGTTGTGCTCCAAGTCCCAATCCAGTTGCCTCTTGAGGTGTCTCTTTTGGTTTCTCTTCTTCAGCCTTTTTAGCAGCTGCTTCTTCCTCTTCCTTTTTCTTAGCGGCTTCTTCTTCAGCTTTCTTTTTGTCGGCTTCTTGTTTCTCGTATTCAGCTTTTTCTTGTTCTTCTTTCTCTTTGGCTTCAGCTGCCGCTTTCTCTGCAGCTTCCTTTTTTTCTTTTTCTTCTGCTTCTTGTTTTGCTTTCATTGCAGCTTCTTCTTTCTCTTTTGCTTCAGCTGCGGCTTTTTCTTGTTCCTCTTTCTCAGCCTTTTCTTTCGCTTCTTTCTCTTTGGCAGCTTCTTCCTCTTTCTTTTTGGCTTCTTCGGCATCTTTCTCTGCTTTTTCTTTCTCCAATTTCTCCTTTTCAGCAGCTTCCTCTTTAGCTTTTTGTTCAGCAGCTTCTTTTTCTTTGGCTACTTTTTCCTCTTCTTCCTTTTTGGCTTTGGCTTCAGCGGCTTCCTTCTCTATTTTTTCTAAATTGTTATTTGATGTTCTGTCTTTTGTAAAATATTAAATTAGTGGTTTCAAAAGTTACAAACGCTTATCCTCTTCTTCTTCATGTTTGTCCTTCTTAGTATTCTTCTTGTCTTTCTTGTCCTTTTCTTCTTTCTCGACCTTTTCTTTCAGCTTTCCAAAAAACTTCTTCATCTGGTTTTCTAGTCTAGGATCTCCAAAAAACACCTCCTCCACGTAGTAACAGTTTTACGTATTAATTCTGATATAATTTTAGCTTAAACTTTATTGTTGATTTGATATAACAAAATTCGACCTTTTCGCCACATCCATCTTTATGCCCCTTTTGTTTTAAATAACATTTAAATTTCATTAAAAAACGGCGTTTTAAGCTTAATTGTTGTTTTGTATTTAAAATAATAGTAGTTTATAATCCTTTTGGTTACTTTCATAAAAATGTTATTTAAAAAATTTTTTGTTTCATTGTATATTCCAAGGGTGACAATTTATTTCTTATCATAAAAAGAGTTCATAATATGGAAAATAATAATTATACCCGTTAAGTTGGCCTTGAACCTCAAATTCAACAGGATCTTTCGCCAAATCAAATTCTCTGTTGTTTCAAGTAATTTTTCCTTTTTTCATATCGGCGAATACATCGGTAAACCAATTTTATTAATTTTAAGAATAGTAAAAAAATTAATAAAAAGGAAAATATCTACACCATTATCACAATCTTTTTCATTTCAAGTTTGCAATATTATTGTGCTATATTTTACCTTATGTTACATTAAGTTATCGGGATGGTTTATCACAGACTATCAAAAAATATTCAACCAAATACAATGTGAATAATTAGTACTTCCCAAAAGTACTATTTAAAATTAATGTACGTTTTATTATTATTAGTCGTATTAGTTGTATTTAATAATGATATAATTAAGCTCAACCATTCTGTAAAACATATTTTAATAAGATAAATTCAACGAATTTTTCGGTACGAGTTCAATTCACAAAAAAAAATTAATTAAGTTAATTAACTATCGAGAAATACATCAAAGCTTTTTATATATTTCAAGTTCATATTTTTAAATTCGTAAATATGAGATCCAATTTCTTGATATGTCATTTGAGTATTATCAATTGTATCTTTTCGTATTTATTTGGTTCTGCTCCTCATAACAACAAGATTTACAAACATTAATTTTATAATTCTTAAAAAATAATCATAACACATTTAATTGATTAATTTACAATGTATAAAATATCCAACTAATTTTAAAGATATTTATTTTTAATTCAAAATTTGAACGACGAAAATAAAACTTAATGGTCGCGCTTTAAATGAAATTAATCCTCTTCGTAACTATCATCTGAGTTGTTGTCACTTTCGTCTTCGTCTTCTTCGTCTTCTTCTTCGTCTAAATTATTTCTCTCGTTGTACGTTTTCATCTCTTCTAAATATTTTTCCGTAGCTTTCTTAGCTTTGTCCAAATACACTTGTTTATCTTCTTCTTTCATGTCTCTCCATATCTCTGCCGCTTTTTTAGCAATTTCAGTAATTTTCAATTCTGGAAACTTTTCCCTGAACTCTTCCCTGTGCTCATTCAAAAACATCAGATAAGGTGTCATAGGTTTTTTTGGTAGATTGGGGTCTTGCTTTGTAATCGCAAAACTTTGACCAACCGAACTTATTGTCTCGAGTTTTGCCAATCCTTGTTGTGACTGGTAAGAGACTGAACAAATGGGGTTTTGTATATCTAATGGTGTTACACCGAAATTGTTTTTTGGGCTTTGATGAAATACACCGACACTCATTGGTTGGATACCACTATTCAAAAATGGTGGTGCGTTATTAGTCATAGTGTTGGTCATCATATTTCTTTGTCTCATCATAAGGTCGTTTTCCATATCAAACACCTTTTCGCAGTTGTTCTTGGTGATATTTTGTGGAGATTCAGTGGTATATGTACAACTCTTACAGTCTTTAAACAACACTTTTGACTC